TTTATTGAGCATATCCAGCTATGTTCCTCTCAGAGGTTATTAACCCCACAGCAGAATTAATCAGTATAGAATGAAGGTCTACACTTGACACAGAAATACTTCAGGGCAAGGCTTGTACCTCGCTTTCTGCTGCTGCTGAGCAGCTTGTTTTAAAGTATATGGTTTTGTTCTCACAGTGTCCAAGTAGATTGTTTTAAATGTTTTCTAAACACATTGAGTATGCGTGGACCTCTGTCTCAAGTGCTTTATTTCATTTATTTTTACTATCCCTACCCCTCGTGTACTTAGCACCCTCAGACAAATAAAGTTCTCTTACTTGTCCCTAGAGACTGAAATCCTGTCATGGATCCAGGTCAGTATCTTCTATTGGGTTACAGCTGCATTCTTTCTTTTGCATTTTTGTTATCAGAAGTTTTTCTTTCCCTTCAGGAGCTAGGACTCCCACATTACTGGAGATCTTTTTTTTCTCTAGGAAGTAGGGCTGTCAAGTTTTCTTTGTTAGTCTATCCAAAATACTTACTAAAATACACTTTGTATTTCAGTCTATTGTTGCTTTTTCTGGCTTCTCCACTAAGTTCTCCCATACCAAAAGAACAGGCTATTAGTAATTAGAAATGTGCATATAAAAATCTATATTTGTATTTTTTGTCTTTTCCACATTGCCTCTCAACAATTTTTTTTGAAAGTATCTCACTTTTGAAAGTGTCTTAACCCTTTCAGAACCTGTATTTGAAGTTCAATAAGGGTTCATATCAGAGCTGTGATACTCTGATACCAAACTGTCTCAGGTTCAGAAAAGTTACTGTTCTTGTAAAATAAATTTTATTTTGCTCATTGTCAAGTCAGCTACTGAACTGCTAAGAAAATTTTATTGCTAAAAGATCTTATGTCACTTGGTCATATCAGATACCAGGATGTCTAAATGAACATGTTTCTCCTTTCCCAGGATACTGGTGAGGTAGTTGCATGCCTAACCGCAGTGGAGAAAGATGGGGAGAAGGGTTACAGAGGCTGGAAAATTCAGAAAGGAGAAGTAGAGAAGGGAGCAGTTGAAGGCAGATAATTTTGAAAGGAATTAGGGGAAAGACCAAAGCCATGTAGACATAATATTAAAGAAGGGAGTGAGACAAGTCATAGGATAGATAATTGTCTCTGTGGGTGTGACATGTTCATATTAAAGGTGAGACTATAGAGCTCAAGTTGATAAGCTCTGCTGGACAATTTACATTTTATGCTGCCTCTAGTGTCGGGAAGAGGAAAAAGTGATGAAAGACTCAGCTGAGGGTTAGAGGTAAGTAGTTAGTGTCTTTGGATGGAGGATAGGCTTTCCCTCTGGGAGTGCAGGGAGGTGTATATGCACGGAGAGGAGCAGCACTGAGGCCTGGTTACTGAAAAGGAGGCTGTAGTTCTCAGTGGTCTCTATGCAGGGAAGTCAAATGCAACTTATAATCGCTAAAGAATGTCTCTTCTCACTAAAGGAGTCTGCAGTAAGAACCACAATTCTGGAGTCTCATAACTTCTGCCTTAATATATTTCTGAGATCTAATATGTCTCAATCCCTTCGTAGTGGACAGTCCCCAGAGGGAATGGCGGCCTGTTCTTTCCAAGTTTCTTGCTCCATCTGCTTCAGGGATAAAACTTTGTTGTGAACTTATGGATTTGAGTCCAGCTGTTCCCCGTGTTGTACACGCTGAAATTCAGTTGTTTTTAGTTCTTTCTAATTTTTTTTTTGCCTTTAAGAATTATTTTTAAGCACAGATTTAAAAAATTGAGTCAGAAATTCATATAGCAGAGATTGTATGAACAAAGCAACTGTAAAAGCATTTTAATACAATCAGTCATTTTTTTGTTGTGTGGTTTGAAATGTTCTTTTATTCACAGATATCACTAGATGTAGAAATAATAAAATACAGTCTTTGAATCTCAGTACATTTAGAATTGCTTTGGCATAATCTTTGTCATACCTTATTCATGGAAAGCCATGTGTTATGTGTGGTTCAGGAGCTTGGCTTGCAGCTATGCAGTTTGTGTTCATTTTGCCCTTATTTATAACATGACCTTGTAATATCACTGTAGGCTTTCATGACTTCAGGGCTTAATTATTGTAATTCCCTTGTCAGTGGATTAGTGATGAGGCTAATCTGCTACTTGCAGCTTGTTCACACTGTAGCAGTGTACTTACTTGTGGGTTTCAACTGCCCTCATCATATTCAGCTTGCATTGTGTTTTTTACGTTACTACTTACTACATGGTGTAATGTTTAAATTAGCTGTATGTATAAAACTCTGAATGCGCATGCCTTGGTTACATTTCAGGATGTTTTGTGTGTTAATCTAAACTAATTTTTCAGATTTTGCTGCAAGACTTACAAAAGGTTTTAGTCTGCAGATTAAACCATCTGAATATAGGTGTCTGCATATTGGTGTCTATGTCAAGTAGGTCTTAAACAGTCATTAGAATTGAAAGAGCATAAAGGGTGATCTAGGTGACTAGCCATTTGGTTGCTGAGAAGTAAATGGTTGGTGTTAATCGAGGAGCACTTGGGTATCCTAGAAATCTCATTAGGACTAGTAGATACACTATCATCTTTGAAACATTCCTTCTGGAATGGCACCTGGAGATCAGGTGTGATATTCTAGAGCTTATTAAATGGCACTACACCTATGTTAAAAATTGATTCAAGCCTTAGGTGTGAAGGAGCAAGATTCAGGATGGGAATGGTTCCAGGCGTGGAGAAAGACATACAGCAATTGACAGGACTTTATTATATGGACTTTACGGTTATTATGTGGTTTCAGATATGTATATTGCATTGTACCCACACTACACAGTGCACAGCCTGGGCATGCCCGGGCTTGCCACGAGTTTTGCCTGCTGCCTGCTTCCCCGCTCCCCTCTCTGATAGGCTGAAGAAGCTGCAGAGAGGAGACAGTTACCATTTGCCCTTTCCTTCCCCGGTTTCTCCCACGTTCCTCCCCCTTTGCCTGTGTCCCTACCCCGATTTGTTCCCCCGTTTGTCTGTCTCATGCTCCACCCCATGTTCTAGCTTTTTCCCCACCTGAAACTCGTAAAACCCCGACACACCTCAATAAAGTATTCCATTTGTACCTCTACCTTGTCTCCGGACCCATCCGTGCTGTGTCACGGCCCCATCCCCCCTCGGACCGTGGCACTTAGGTGTTTACTTTGAAATAAGATGAATTACTGTCTATACTCCATAACCTGCTCACTAGATCTCTGTTGGCTTTAATGAGACTTTGGACACAGTCTCATATGTTAGCATCTTCATTTATGTCCCCTGTTTTGGATCTGAATCTGACCTATGAGGTCTTTCATCCATGGGATTTTTAATAATACCCCAAGCCTTGACTTAAGGCTGCATGTTTTAATTAAAATTTTATTAATCTTAAATCCCTGGAATATTGTATTTTTTTTGTTCCATAACGTTAAATTCTTTCAAACCTCAGAATGTTTTTTAAATATAGCAATTATTTATGACACTAAAATTCAGCAGTTTTGCAGTGATAACTTTGCCTATATTTTGCCTTACGTAACTGAAAATAATGTGTGTTGCTCTTCTGTGCCTTAAAGAAAAAAAGGCATATTTACATACTATCTATTGTCGATTTAAAGGAAAACTTATATGTATCTACACAGTTACATAAATTGGATGGAGATTGTGGTAAGAGTCACATCTGTTAATTTCTGTTTTGAAGTGTCTCTGTCTTTGACAAGTTTCTAAGAATGGGTGGTTTGTCAAGCATTTCTCTATTGTTACTAGTTTAGGAAAGTATTTTCTAACTTCAGTATTGGTTTTGTCTGCATAATTTGGCATTAAACTTGTAATTTAAACCTTCAGATACTCTTAGTTCTGTTAGCCTCCCTCTTCCCATAGTCTGTGCAAATAGCTCAATGCATATTGTTTTGAAGATGGCCTTTGAGTTGATGTATGTTTAAAGTCTTTGAAAGCTTTTCTGAATAATTAAATATATGAAATCCAGGAAAATATGGTTTTAGGTTTAGTATGCCCTCTGTTTACCACCAAGTTAATGATATTTACCTGATGATAATTTTAGCCTATTGTATTAAAGTAATGAAATAACTTCAAAATGTACACTGCAAAAGACATTCCAAGCATTTTGCACCATAACTGTTGCACAGGTATCTTCAGGAGTAAAGGATTTCCCAGTCCCCACACCTTGCAGTGATTTAGCCTCAAGGACATGGACAATGCATGTGGTCAGTGTACCTGAGGGATTTTCCAGAACCACTGGGAGCACGAGGGCATTCCAGAATACAAAGCCATCTGAGCTATTAGTCTGCTGCCTCTTCCAACCCAAGTTATACTCCTGGAAGATGAAAGTATAGGAGAAAACTTTTTGTGTTTTGTCAGTGCTTAGGTGAAGTCCTGAAGCATGGGTTTGGCAAAGAAGAACTTACTGGAGCAGAAAATGGATAAAACGCCTAGATCAGTCAAAAATGTTCTTAACAGAACTTCCTGAAAGTAGGGGTTATCTCACTTCCGTTATTGAGTTTAACTCTGCTGTATTTGTCATTTTTATCTATGTCTGTATTTAGCCCAGGGAAAGGGAAAAAAAATTAACTCATGTATAGACTGAATGTGCTATCACCCTTACACATTTCAATGTAACTTCATGTAGTCTTTCCTTTGAAATAGCTATTTTGATGAAATTCCCTGCTATTAATGGACAGTAAGGTTACTAAGAAAGTAAATGTTTGTGTAGTTTCTCTATATAGCTCTTCTATACCTGGTTTTCCCTTGTAGACTGGGATAGCGGGAGTGAATACGAGAATGGTTGAGGTTAACGTAATCTATATGAGGTATAATCCTGTAGTTTGCATGTTCTGTTTGAGTTATATTTTGCTGGTTTAAGTATGATAAAGGGTATTTTGTTAAGTTACTTCCTGCGGGAAATAGTAGTGCTTTTCTTTAAGTGTGTGCTAGAAATAATGTCAAATGAAAAATATTTTTGTATCAGATATGATTATATGAAAACACATCCTTCTGAGAAAATGCATCTAGCAGTGGTGGCCTGTGGTGAAAGACTGGAGGAGACTGTTACTATGTTGAGATCAGCCATTATTTTCAGCATCAGACCTCTCCACTTTCATATTTTTGCTGAGGACCAATTACATGAGCGTTTCAAAGACATAGTAAGTATTCGAAGAATGAATTCAATCAATTTGTAGCACAATTTGAGTAATATATTGCAATTTCTCTACTTGGGTAGTAGTTGTCATACAGTGACAGAAATGCAGGGGTCTAGAAATAAGATAAGGCATTTGTAATGTTGAATGGAGATTTCTGAGGTTTTTTTCCTGTGGAAGAGTGCCAGTTGCTGATATCAAAGTTCCTCCTAGAGATAGACCAAATCTTCCTTATTTGTCACTTTAAATCTGTTAAATACAAACCTATGTTCTGAATGCAAACCAGTTATCTACAATCTTGTGTGAGCTTACTTAAAGTTGGCTTTACAAGAAAAAATTAGAGATCTGTCCTTTTTTGTCCCTCTGCTTACAGCATGAGTCAGCCTTGAATTGTTGAGACAAACTGAAAGACCCATTTTTGAAAATGGTAGATTTGGTTATGTCTGATTTTAGTAAATTGTAGTTAATGAATATAACATTATGACTGTAGTAACAGTTTTAGAAGCTGACTAGGATATAACTGTGGAAGGTTTTATTATTTTTGTGCTTAAAATGTCATATTAACTGTGACATGAGTATGTTATACATGCTTATGTGTATATGCTAATGTTATGCAAACAGTAACTGGCAAAAATGGACTAAGTTATTTTAAATTTAGAAAGACTTCCTGTTATTTCTCCTGTGGAAACTAGTTGAAGGGAAGAGTTTTATTTAATGTACTTACTTTTTGTAAATGCTAATTTATTTTACTTCCTCTTCCTTTTGCATATGATGTGATATGATGTGTTTTCTTCATAGTGGCCTGCAGGTGCCCTTTTTTTTCGATTATTTTGATTAGCTGACAGATTCTTGTAGTTCAAGAAGCATTTCTGTTATGAAAAAGAGATGTTGTAGTTGTGTTCAATTATCAGTTTGAATGGGGGATTGATTTATTTTTTGTAATAGAATTGAACTGAAGTAATTTCTGTGATTTCTTCTTTTCACATAGCTTGATGAATTCCCCTATGAAGGAAAAGTTAATTACACGTTATATCCAATAACATTTCCAACTGAGAGTGCGACAGAATGGAAGAAATTGTTTAAACCGTGTGCTTCACAAAGGCTATTTTTGCCGGTAAGTTACTCTGTAATAGGACAATGAAGTCTGTTTATGAAGGATCAAGCTGTCCTTGTTAATCTGATATCTGCTTGGTTTAAAATGAAGGACTACTACTACTCCTGAAAGTTACTTTTATGACATCCTAAAAAATCCTGTGAATTTAACCACCTTCTGTGGCACTAATACCCTATGGAATAAAAGTCCTTTTCTCACTTGCTGTGTTATGCACAGTATCCTCAGAGAGAGGTATAGGTCATGTCATCCTCTCAGAGGTAAGAAGGATTTATCACGCCTCATCTGCTCATTTGTTTGGAAAGTTTCCTGCATGTGTGGGTCTGAGAAGTATTAGAGAAAATGAAACAAGAAATGGGCTATTGTTGCCAGTGTTTTGTGCAGCCTTTTTTTATTTTGCTCGTCTAAGACACTTCAGAAATCATTCTTCAGGTTTGATGAATTAGAGCAGTAGCAGCTGTCTCCCAAACACTGTCTCTTCAGGGGCTTTTACATCTCTCCCTTGTTTAATTATCTGCATGGGAAAGCAAGGGAACAGGAGCAAGATAGGAGCTCCTGTTAATGTTTCACCTGGCCTGCAAACCTACTCCTGAGGAGCCCTGGCATATAAAATGTAGACTGAGTGCCTTTGCATTACTGTTCTGTATGAAACCTCTGTTTCCCTTTACAAAAATTCTTTAAAATGAGAGGAGTGATGGCAAATTTATTGACTGCAAACTGTCAGCCTAAAATGAATTTATTTGCATATGACAAAATTGTGTAATGGCAGCAACTTCTGTTTTATGAAGAGAAGTTCAATAAAACTAAAAAGTTTGGTTTTAAATTTCTTTCTCTCACAGTTAATCCTCAAAAATGTGGATTCACTACTGTATGTTGATACCGACATCCTGTTTTTGAGGCCTGTTGATGATATTTGGTCTTTTCTGGGAAAGTTCAACTCCACACAAATTGCTGCAATGGCACCAGAACATGAAGAGCCTCGTATTGGGTGGTATAATCGCTTTGCTAGACATCCGTATTATGGAGTAACTGGAATTAATTCTGGAGTCATGTTAATGAATATGACGCGTATTAGAAGAAAACATTTCAAGGTATGTGTGTTGGCTTTATTGCATTTTCTGAGGACTTAAGTATTTTAATTTTAATCCTGTTTCAAATTCATGTGTATTTTTCAAATTTTTTCCTGTAATTGTAATAATCTTCTCAAAGTACGCTGTTTAAAATAGAATATAACTATTTTTTAAATGTCATTCACTGTAAGACTTGGAGTTCTTGGAATGTCAAGCGTGCTTGATTGTTTTAATTTTTCTTAGTTCTGAGAGATCCTTGACTTGATACGATTTGCTGTAAATTACATTTGCCAGTAGATATGCCAGCATTTTTAATTCACTGTAGCGATCCCAGAAAAAAGTTAATGTAAACTTGTACCATGTGTAGTTGTATGACCAGAAGGTGGTGCTAAAGGTGTTTAAAATGAAGGTTTCCAAATTTTGATCTTTTACATTGTAAGCAGGTGGTTATCACCCTAAGTATACTTTTATTTACTATGAAGTCATAGTTTTGTAGACAATTTAGTTCATCATGAAAGTATTTACTACTACATGCATGAAAGCGGTGCACGCAACAGTAGAAATGGACGTTGCTTCTCAAATGGGAAGTTTTTTTCTTACATACTTGAAACACAAGGACAAAAACAGTGCTATGTGATTATGCTTAGGGGAACAGTCCATCTCTGCTTAAGAGAAGTTTGATTAGGGAAAAATAATCATGCAGTCAAAAACTTTTGGAAGTGCATCTGTAAGAGGGGCAATATAAACTTCCAGTAGACATTACTTCTCCCCTGTTTTCAATTTAATAAACAGCTTTCATCTTCAAAATCTTGCTATGTATTGTTGTTAGGAAAATTCAGAGAATTTAAGAAAAATGGGGAATGAATCATCTCAGTTGCAGTTAAAGTAGAAAGTTATAGTAGATATACTATATAACTGTAGTTTCTCCAAGAAGAAAACTTCTCTGTATATGTCATCAGTGAAATCTTGCATTGTTTACTCTATTTGTTTGTTTTACTGATTATAGCATATGGAGAAACGAAAATACCGAAAAGTATGAGAAAAACACGGGACTGAAAACTGCATGTATCTTAACCTCTGACAATGCAGTTCTGTGTAGTGAATTATCGTAGTGTTTACCACACTAAAAGTAAGGTTGGTCTTTTATTCATACTGTACCAGAATTCTAGTTGGGCTTCTCAGTACAGCTTAGATTATCAATTCATTGAAACTTTATGCGTCTTTACTAAAATTTGGGTTAAAATTTTCAAAAGTATGCATATTATGTAGGCTAATAAAATTGTCAATAAAATTAACTATTGTTTTCTAGAGGATAATATGAAGTCCTTTCTCCTTAACACCTAAAACAGGTGTTTTCTTCAAATTTAGGTTTATATATACAGATTTATGTAGGTGAAATAATTTGTGAGTATTTTGAAATTCAAAATGGAACATTGCCACTTACCCTTGGCTCTAGAGGGCTGGAATATTTTCCAAGTCCTAAAAATATCTGCTACGTATTCCTGGTATTGCCAGGTATATTTATTATGCAATGAAACGTGTCAGACTGTTCAACGAAAACCAGCCTTGGAGGAAGTGAATTTTTTATAATTGCTCTTTATTACAGGAGTGAGTATCTGATTTATAAGACCTCACTGTAAGGCAAGGCATACATCTGTATGCTTTTCTCATGATCTTGCTGGCAAACTTCAGTATACCTAACATGATGGACAGTTTCTGGCTAAGCGGACCACTGAACTTCTTTCTGTAGTGAGATAGTGTGTCATAACTGTTATGAGGAATCAGAACAAAAACAATTCTTGAATTGTTCTGAAAACATTCATCTTAATGCTCAGATTGTTCAGTATGTATTGTAGTAAACACAAGTCTGCTTGATGAGTTGCAGGCTAAGCAATCATACAATCAAGGGAAAGGAACTGAGACTGGAGTTAGCTACCCAGTGCTACTACACTAATATATTCAGAATTATGAAACGGCACTTGGGAAAGGGAGGCAGGAACAAAGCGAAGCTTCCTAATAGCAAAGCACATGATTCAAAGCCCTTTTTGATGAATTTAGTTAACAAAAATAATAAAAAAGGCAATTAACCCATTCCCATGCTCAGTTGTTTTAAATGTTAGAAATACATCATTTTCTACTCATAATAGTTAGTCATAATTCTTTGGCATCCTTCCTAGAGCATTACTGTCACTTCAAACTTAGGCTTCTGCTTCCATGTGTGATGCATATGTACTTCTGTTCCTTGCTTTCATATGTCTTCTGAACCTCGTATTTGTCCAGGAGTGCTTTTGTGTGCGCTGTGGCTGTTCCTCAAACATTTAGGACTAGTGGTGCACCTAAAGAAATACTCTTTCACTCTTACTTGATTGTAAAAAGTAAAATAGGCTCAGAATTGCCTCTGACAGGAGATTACCTCATGATTTCTAAACCATACTGCTGCTTTAGTCCTTTTATTTATTGGACACACTGGAAAGTGTCCTGTAGTATCAGGCTTGTGGTAGCGTTTTCAGTCCAGCCAGAACAGTTTGGGGATGTCTAATAAAGAGACCTACTAGGTTACCTGAAATTTAGGAGTGATAGTGCTTGATCATTCTCCTCCTATCATAGTGAGATAGTGCAGCCTAGGTAACGACTAAGGAGGAAATGAGGTTATTGTACAATATTGATTATTGAGAGCTTTAGAGAGCACTCAGCAGGGGAGCCATTTAGTTTATTCTCCCTTAGTACCTAGAGCGTGGTCCCATAAGCTTGCAGAGCATAACAGGGCCCCAAAGGTGCACAAGCTTTATTACAAAAGCTCTACTGTTCATGGAGACTTGCAGAGACTGTTTTCTTCTTTAATTTCCTTGAATGCCTTAATAAAAGGAGGATTGGTCAATGGAAAAATCGCAACCTCACAGCAAAACTTCGAGAAAGATTTAGTGTAGATGAGTCTATACACAGCAGCAAAGGAGCTACTAATCTCAACCCTTTAGAAGAGAAGAGGGTAGGTGTAGGGTCTGTCCTAAATTCAGGGGTAGGGGCTATCCTAATACCCCTTCCCAACAACACTGCAGATGGTTTTGGACTGTTCCATGTTGTGTCCTATGAACTATTCCAGTCAAATACAGTAGAACTAGAAAATGCTTCTTTGTTTTATAGGAATGTCTGAATTTGTTTATATTCATTCAGGAGGCTCAACAAATTCTTCAAGGAGTATATAAGGTCTGGGAATTTTTGTATCTTTTAAAAGCTGTCTCTAGGTCTTTTTAATATGACACTGTAGTGGCTAGAGCATTTCTCTGAACAGTGGAAGTCTTGAATCAGGATATTCCTCTAATGCTATGAATTTAAAACTGTGGGTTCTTTGTCTATTGTAGTTTTTTCAGCCCAAAATTACAGACTGAGCTGCTTGAGGCCTCTAAGCATCTTTCTTCTTTGTCACATTGATTTGTAAAAGTCAGGAGGAGCCAGAAGATGGATAAATAAAAAGTAGAATCAGAGACTTTAGCTAAAGGTTACAGTGTTTGTCTGGGTAGCAGTAAACCTGTAGCTCCATGTATTGCTCCAGGATTAAATCGTCTTTTATCCACTTACTTATTAAAGCCTTAATCTTCTTAGAACTGTCAGGTTTAGTCATTTTAGACAAGTATCCTAGCTATTTGGCTGTCTGTGGTGCCTAATGGAAGTTGTTACTCCTGGTCCTGACTATGTTATCTGTCTTGTTGTTTTAAGTCTCTGTGTATATATACAGAACAAATATGTTCACTGTACGCACACGTGTGTGTACACATTTATTTGGACAATACTCTCAGGCACATGGTGTGACTCTTGGGGATGCTCCTGTGCAGGGCCAGGAGTGGGACTCGATGATCCTTATGGGTCCCTTCCAACTCAACGTATTCTGTGATCTATACAGATCTATACATATGCACGCATGGATGTGTTACTGAATATAGTGTGATCATAAAACAGTGTGTAACTGGGCATGAGACTAGAATCCATAATGGAGCTTCTGATGGTTAGTGCCTGCATGTTGTCTTTGCTAAGCAGCAGTTATAAAATAGGAATGTAAAACGCGCAAGAGCATTTAGGATATGGAAGGGGTAGTAGTAGGTAACTTCTTTTGTATTTGTATACATATAGATGTAGTTATTTTCTTAAACTGGAAGAGATGTAGCAAATACTACAGATATGGTGTTATAACATAAAAAATCCTAGACCAGTGAGGCAATATGAATAGAGAGCAATGACTTTTATCACATTTATTAAGAAAGTTAGTTGTTGTGATTCCTGAGATGCAGGCAGTCATGGAAAGGAACAAGTTCTTAGAAAATCAAACAAGCCCCCAACAAATTAAGTCCAGATAGAGTGTGCAAAGTAGAGGTTCATGGGTATGCTTTAGGAAAAAAATAAATAATCAGAGAGTTTCTATGACTTAAACCATTATAAACTCTTTTTTTACCATTCAGTTGTGCTTAGGGTCATTGTTCCAAGAAAGAACTAATTGCTTCTAAAAGCAAGATTCCTGTCTCTTACCAGCTTTTCCCTGCTTTTCTCATTTACTTTGTCTTAGCCTCTGGTGTTTGTTGATCCTTTCTCTGATTCAATTCAATTTAGTAACAGGAGAAAAAAGATATCCTTCTTCTGGGTTATGGAAGTAAATCAGTTTGCAAAAACATTCAGTAAGTGTTAGCACTAGCAAAAGCAGTGCTAGTGCAAAAGCAGGAGAGAGTCATGTAACCAGAAGGAAGAGGGCTGGCTCTAAGTTGGTCAACTGTTTGTGGGACACAGCTGCAACTGGTTTAGATATTGCTGTATGATTTGAGAATTTTTCCACAGTTTTATATTTTCTTACTAGAATTAAGAGAAAGGTAATACAAGGCTGGGGACCCCTGGTGGCCTAGTGGTTAGCATGCAGGACTCTCACTGCTGCGGCCCAGGTTCGATTCCTCGGTCCCCCGGGCAGATGGAGCCCGTTAGCCCTGTGAGGCCATCCATCTAAGAGAAGGTCACTCTAAACAAACCTACGTCCTGAGGACCTCACTGCCATTGTCCAAGTTCGCTTGGCCCCGGCAGATGAACCTTAGGATTAAAGGGTGGGCTCAGTTCAGCGCAGGCTGTGTCTCACCTAAAAAATCCATTGCGCAGGCTGGAAAGGTAAAAGACCTTTCCCAAAATCTTCGTTCGCGAAGACTGGCCATTAATACAAGGCTAAATATGACAGCTCTTTTAAGTCTGACTTTAGCCTTGGCCAGGCAGAAGTTTTCTGGATATTGAGGTGCTGGAGCAGGTCCAGAGAAGAGCAGCAAGGCTGGTGAAGGGACTTGAGCAAAGTCCTATGAGGAGAGGCTGAGGGAGCTGGGGTTGTTCAGCCTGGAGAAGAGGAGGCTCAGGGGAGACCTTATCACTCTCTACAACTCCCTGAAAGGAGGTTGTAGCCAGGTGGGTGTTGGTCTCTTCTCCCAGGCAACTATCAGTAAGACAAGAGGGCATGGTCTTAAGCTGTGCCAGGGGACGTTTAGGTTAGATATTAGGAAGAAGTTCTTTCCAGAGAGGGTAATCAGGCATTGGAATGGGCTGCCCAGGGAAGTGGTGGATTCTCTGTCCCTGGAGGTTTTTAAGATGAGACTGGGTGAGGCACTTAGTGCCATGGTCTAGTAACTGCAGTGGTAGTGGATCAAGTGTTGGACTTGATGATCTCAGAGGTCCCTTCCAACCCGGCTGATTCTATGATTCTATGATGTTATGATGGCATCACAGAAATGCCCACTACTGTTGTGTGTTTTTTTCTTAAATCTCTTTAACATTCATTGCTTGTTGTTGAATATTGGAGAGAAGGTTTATGTTCTGAAAATCCTTAAATTATCATAGAATTGTTTCTGAAATTTACTGGACAAACTTCTGAAAAGCAATTCTATCAGCATTCTACTTCTCAAGCTGTTTAACCTCACCTCAAGTTACAATAGAATATTTTAAAGAAGGAGAATGTATAACTATTCTAGTAGTTTCTCTTGCTCTGTAACTCCTATGCTGATGTCACTATACATCACTGTTAATAAATTTTTTATTTATGCAAAGGTTATTGAAATATTACAGTTTCCAGTACTTAAATCTGACTGCATTATTTGTCAAGTAGTGTTGTTTCTAGATGTCTGGCTCTGTGATATATGCTGTTTCCTGCTTTGCATCTTCTTGGGATATATTGCTATTAAAACTCAACAAGTGAAATGAAAATTATATTAAATAATGACTTTAATAACCTAAAGTTATATTTTGGTCAATATTCTATGGATTGCAAAGTTCAGGTGAGGGAATAATCTTTATGCACTGTGATTCAGTCCCATTTACTTGCTTTTTGGAAGATTTTAGCTTGGTGTTAAGCCTGTATTTTATTTCGTTTAATCATGTTTCACTGAATCTAATGATAATTCTTACTAGAGAAGAATTCTCTTGTGCATTTCTTATGCCTGCTCTCATTGAATACTTGTAGGCAATCATAGTCATAAATTTTTTAGGACTGAAGAGACTGTAATATTCTCTTTGGCTTCTTAGACAATATAAGCTATAGATCTTTTTTTTTTAATTAATTCTTGTCTGAAATCTGATAGTATTTCGTGTTTTAGTCTTCAGTTCTAAAAGCCCTTCATATTCAATGGCTGAAATGATTTAAGGAAAGAATAAAAACTGAACTGCTAATTTGTGCACTTTGTAGTTTGTCAGTGTAAAGCTCAGAGAAGAAAGTCTTTGATACTGTAATTCAAAAACTGAGTCTTTTGCTCCTAGTAATCTGTCTCTTAATATGATATTCCTGTATGCAAATCCCAAACTATACTGGAGTTTTAATTTAATATTTTCTTTGGCAACCTGTTAAAAAGAAGCAAGGGTACAATTCTGTACTTGTTAGGAATTTTCTCTGGGACTTTTTGTTATTCCATCTCCCTCTCACAACTGAAGTACAAGGTAGAGAGTGAGCAGCCTTGTTCCTTTTCTATTCTAGTTGAGCTTAAACATGGTGTAAAGATAAAAAATTAGCTTTGGAATATGTAACCAGTTAAACTGCAGATTTTAATCTCTTTGGTAATATGGCCAAAAGAGTAAACTGTAAACCAGTTTACTCCAAGTAGCACATCCACAACCAGAACCTTAGAAGAACTCCTCCTTCTTTCAGTTTGAAGCGATTCTGGTAAATCAAGAAATTTGGCATTTAGTAACAGCTGTTGGTTTAATGTCTTACTGACTTTTGCTAGTGAAAAGTCATGCCTTTGCTGTGGAAGTTCAAGTTTAGTAACTAAAAAAAATTAGTTCAACTGGATGAAAATTCTTTTGAAAACCTTTGAAGGATCTTTGTATTTTTGTACACTATGTTGTAGCCTGTATTTGTTGTCTGTGTGTTTGGAACTATTTAAGAATTAATTTTATGTTGAACTGGTTTAAATTTTTGAAGTTAACATTAGAACCTGTGTATATTTATCACTCTGTGAAAAAGAGAGAAAGTGTGTGAAGTGTGCATATTTAAAGACTCGCCATCTACTTGCTGCATCACTTAATGAAGTTTAGATCCTACTGCTGCGTAAAAAACCCTTGCCATTTCTTAGAACTCTTGACTTAACATGTTTGAAGAAAATCTTGAAGAGAAAAAAACAATGTAATAGAAGTAGGAGATGCATCAAATTTTCCTTCTAAGTTTATAATTGAGAAATAAAGCATATTGGAAGTGTCCATAACTATTTTCCTTAGATGGGTTTGTTGGTTTAAAAGGAAGAAATCATCTATACATTTGAGATTTGTAACTTTGAAATGCAAATTACTGTGATTGTGTAAGGCATTTCCGTATATATTATACGTATAATTTTCCTGAATGTGTTTTGCCTTTTGCTTCATAGAATGATATGACACCGGTCCGGTTACAGTGGGGAGAAATTCTTATGCCACTACTGAAGAAATACAAGTTGAACATAACATGGGGTGATCAGGATCTATTGAACATTATGTTTTTTCACAATCCAGGTAAATCCACATTGATTTTAAGTCTAACACTAGAAAGCTGATCTTTTCCATGATGTTCAAAAATCTAGGAAAATACTCTTTTAGCAGACTTTTCTGTGAAAGCATTCAAGGGACTATGTGCTCCTTTTGTTCTTTGAAAGTATTTACTTTGAGAGTTTACGTTGAGACACAACACTGGAGCTTGTTAGAGTGCAATGAACTCTCATTTTTCCACACAGAAAGTCTTTATGTCTTTCCTTGCCAATGGAATTATCGACCTGACCACTGCATCTATGGAAGCAATTGTAAGGCAGCTGAAGAAGAAGGTATATTTATTCTTCATGGAAACAGAGGTGTGTACCACGATGATAAACAACCAACTTTTAGGGCTGTCTATGAAGCAATAAAAAATGTAAGTATTTTCAGCATTGTACTTATTATTTTTTAAAGTATTTTTATCTGTAGTGCTGCATGTATTTTGTTTGATACTCACCTTAATTGCAACAAAGTAATTTTTTTCTCTTTTAAGCAACTTTAAGTGTTTCATCGGTTTCTTCTTTATTATTTGGGTGGAGTTCCAGCATATTCCTGTTTTGATGAGCATCTTTGGAAACATAGTGCAGACTATGTTTAAGTTAGGATTCTAAAGCATTGCCCGTAGTTGTCAATGCTTATTTAAAAGGCTATGTTCTCATTCATTTAATGAATCATCTGGTACACTTCTTACCTGAGCATTTGGAGATCATAGAATATCTGAACTGGAAGGGACCCACAAGGATCATTGAAGTCCAACTCCTGGCTCTGCACAGGACAATTCCCAAGAGTCACACCATGTGCCTGAGAGCACTGTCCAAATGCTTCTTGAACTCATACAGGCTTGGTGCTGTGACCACTTCCCTGGGGAGCCTGTTCCAGTGCCCAGCCACTCTCTGGGTGAAGAACCTTTTCCTAATACTCAAACCAAGCCTTTCCTGATACAACTTCAGGCCATTCCCTCAGGTCTTGTCCCTGGTCACTACAGAGAAGAGATCGGTGTCTGCTCCCCCTCTTCCTCTTGTGAGGAAGATGTAGACTGCGATGAGGTCTCTTCCCAGCCTCCTTTTCTCCAGGCTGAACAAGCCATCACCAGAAGCTTTATTTTTCTGGATATTTTAAAATGCAGGAAAAACCTCATATTCCCAAAGTTCATAAGTATTTATTGCAACATTTTAATACTTGTGTCTAGATTTGAATTGTAAAAAACTTTTTATATACTGTGTTTTGACCTTTTCTAGAGATTCAGTGTATTAATATGTTGTTGTTCCTCTAAATACTAAGCACAGTGACGTCTTTTCATTCTGCAAATAAGTAATCTAATAAACTATTTATCACTGCATCAGTATACTCACTGAAGAGCCGTAAAATTTAGCACTGATGCACATTTTAATGTAGCAGGCTATTGTGTGTGTGTATAACCTACAAAAATCAATAGTATATTTTAATGTTGCTTTATTATATGTTGTCATATAGATATAAAAATGAAGAAAAGTACTTTTGGGGGTCTGAGAATACATTGCAGGGAAAGTGATTGTGTTTCCATAAAAATATGTTTTCTTTGTTTCCTTTGAGTATTGTCAAAAACAGAAGAAAAAATTATTTCCTGTTAAATATGATCCCATTTGGTATATGAACATGTCAGAGAAAGTATGTAAAACACTGCTGATTCAATGGTAATAAGATGAACAAAATTATATTACTTCAAAGTGCTGTTTTAACTTATCATTTGTTTATAAAAATATAGCACTGTTGAATTAATGACTACTTTATTTCATGCCTGTGTTAAACACAGTATGTGTTTGACCATCATTCAGTTTAATGAAACTTCAGATCTATTACTTTTCATACTGCTTTCATTATAATTTGATAAGAATTATGTTACTTAAAGGTTATATGCCATTTGAGAAAGTTACCATAAAACCAGAAAAATAACCAGAAATCATTTTAGATCTGTAAATTTTTAATTTAAAAGGTAATTTTTAATTTTCTTCCTTGACTGTCTGAATATGTTCATTGGCTTATATTTAAAAATAGTAAAGTCTTCCATGTTATGCTTATTGAAAGCATTAGAGAATATTTCTATATTTTGGAGGTGTTTTTCAATTATTGCATTCAGAAGCACTCTGAATGCTTGAAAACATTTAATAAACATATAGGAAGCAAATACGATGCTCAGAAACATTTTTATGAAACTCTAATCCTCTGAACAATGAATCTTCCGTATTGACCTTAAATTTTCTTTTCTTAACCTGTTTACAGTATTCATTTGGAGATGATCTGGTTCATTCACTGCTGCAGCCCCTAGAACTGGAATTACAGAAAACCGTGCATACATACTGTGGAAGAGTTTACAAAGTATTCATAAAGCAACTAACAAAAAGCATAAAAGACTTGTATGCCAGAAGATCAAAGGGAAGGTGACTTTTGACTCCTAGCTGTTCCATCAAGAGACTGAAGTAATATACTGGTCAAAAGGTGCAAGAATTTTAATACAGCTTGAATGGGCTCTTAATGTGTCCAGACAGAAGTTTACTAGCATACATAAAAATGAAGAAAATATTCACGTATGAAGAACAGGAACTTTTTTCTGCAGAGGTGACTTTTTGCTCTTTTGAAGTTTAATCACTGCTAATGTTTATCTTGGTTCTGATGATTTGGGTGTTACTGGCTTCTGTGGTCAGTACTTTTAGTCTGACCATAATTCAGTTATCTAATGATCAAACAAACAAGGAAGAAATGAAGATGGCTCTGTTTGAGAGCATACCTCATATATTGTCTAAAATTATGTAAAAACTGTGAATGTAGCAATAACTGAGTCAGCAGCACTAACCTCACTTTAAAGGTGTGAGCCTTTATGTAAACAAAGTTGTTTACAAGTGCAGAAAATACTCTGTTTTCAACAAAATGGGTTGTAATTATCGACAATCTATGTGTGCCTTTACGTGTTCATCTCTTACATGTTGAAATACTGTTTTGACAATCTTGTTTATCTCAGATGTGAACTGCACGCTATAAATACGATTTTCTGAGAAGCTGATAACTAGTATGTGATACTAGTTTTCTCCATTGGTAAATACAGAGACTTTATATTAAAAAGCATTTGTTTGAACATTGTAGAGCCATTAGCTCTAAAAGGTAGAGCAGAGTCGAGGGGGTTTTAAGTAAAAATTCAGTTTGAAGTTGCTTGTCTTATGATACTTTTTAAAAAATTCATGGTTTTGCAGCTTTAATAGGGCATTTGGGAAGCCAAGAAAAACCCAACAGTGGAAATCTGTTGCTGTTGCATTTCCATACTAGGAATTATTACCTGACGATTGTTATAGAGTATGTAGGACCTAAAAGTGAAGAGCTGTAGTAAGAGTTCTGATGCTTCATCAGACTGTGTAGTAGATAGGTTTCTTAGAGAATATATCATGTTACCATATATTTTTAAATAACATGGCTTTAAAATAGCTTTGTGGCAGACTCTCAATACAATGAATGCATTACTGTCAATAGGGTGATAGTAATTTGCAACAGGTAAGGATTAGGCTTTCTTCAACTGTCTTAGTGAAAAAAGAAGTACTGTTTATGCAATACAAACTTTTTTCCCAGAGAAAACGATGAAGAAAAAGGCAGGACTCTAGTGTTACAGTAAAATATTTAAACTTACATGGTGTAAAATGTATTTGTAAAGAGTATTTGAACTTAGATAACCTGTCTAAGTGAGATGAAGTCTTCATAAAGTGAGGTTTTGGATTCCAGAAAAGTTCTTGTGTGTTGAACATGGAGGATCCACTCACTGACTTGCACCTTCATCCCAATCCCATTTTAGAAGCTTAATTTTTGTGGCTGTTTCCATGTCAAAAGTAGGCTGCCTCTGATTTCCAGATTCATGTGAGTTGAGCAAATGCTTTAGCAGTACAAAAATGCACTGCACTGTAAGCAGAGTTTATATTCTGTTTCTAATCTCCCTGCGGGCTCAGGGTGTAAATTTCTGGGATGAAAACTAGGAAGCAGTCTGCTTTGCACGTAGATCTCTTTTCCTTGCTGTGTAACCCTTTGAAGACTGAAAATGTAGAAATCTGTGTGAAGGTGAATACTGTGACTGACTGATTTTACAGTATGCAGTGCATTATTTTTTTACATAAATACTGATTTTTATATCAATTTGTGTTTCAGCTTTCTTTTTTACTTGTAGTGTGTGCTTGTATTTAAAAAAAAATCTTTGAGTTGTTTTTTGTTTGTCTTTGCAGACATATATGCTGCATTATTTGACTCCCTTTTTTTGAGTGAAAATTGCAATGAAACACCGCTTATTTACTCGCATTTATGGCTGTGATGGTATTTGTGACAGATTAAATGAGGTGAAAATAAGGGGTAAGCTACTTCTTTAGCTTATCTGTAGGAAAACACTAGACTTCCAGTTTCCTCTGCCTGGTTTATAAAGGTGTCTCCAAATGCATAGACATAGATATTTCCACTTCTTAGAAGTCTTGAGTTTTTTTTCATTGTCTGTTTTCTGTTTCAAATTTAAAGATTTTTAACTATCAGACAGGTTTAATAGTATCAATTTACTGATAGTATGATTTTTTTTTTTACTTGATTAAGTGGAATACTCATGTATAATTTAAATGAATGTGTAGGCTTGTTGTCCCATTTTTTCCTAATAAATTACCAATTTTGAGTAGTTATTTGTGGTGGTTTGAGACCCCCAAAAATCCAATTCCCAAGTCCAAGCCCCCCTCCCACAATTCACCCCAGTGTGAGAGGGGTTTTCCAGACACAACACAAGACTCAATATGGGGGGAAGGGAATTATATTACAGTTATTACACAAATAAATATTATAATACATTATATACACAATCCTAATTATCTCTCCTATGATAAAGCAATATTTACATTGGATCAAATCTCTTTTCCCTCCAATAAAAGTCCAGAAGGGAAGAAGGAAAGATCCTTTCCACGTTCAGGGCAGCAGTGTCTCTCTTCTCCAATGCAGCAGTCGTAGCTGGAGTTGTAGCTGGATCTCTCTCTCCATTACACACAAGGGGGTCTTCTCTCACCCCTCTCGGCCCTTCGACTGCAATCGAAAGTCTCTTTCCTGTGGACTGCGAAGCAGGGACAAGGCTTGCCTCACCAGGTCGTATCACAAAGTGCAGGGGTCTTTGTGACAGTCCCTTCCTCAGGGGATTTACCCCCTGAGTCAGAACGTTTAGGGCAGCTTTCAGTTCAGTCCTTGCCCTAAGTGTTCTATCAGAGCTCCTTTGCTCTGTCTCAAAACTGCCAGTGTGGCAGCAGCGGGGAGGGAACAAGGCCACTTCCCCCACATTCTGTCTGGCCATCCCGGTCCACCTTCCAGGACGTCTCTGAGCTCTTAGTTCCTCTCTCCGGTGCATGTTGCATTTTAGGACTTCCATCAAATAGGAGTCCACCCCCTCCTCCTAGGAGGGGTCTCAAAGGGGTTTTGGGGAGAGTTAATTCAGTTCTTACCCCAAAACTGTCTTTGTTGAGCTTGGTCCTCTCTCTCTCCGTTGGATAACTCTGTGTCTCTCTGCTTAGCTGCATGCCATCTTTGCTGCTTGTTTATCTCTTTGGCCTTCTGCCACAGTTCTCCGTTCACTGCTGCTCTGCCTCCACTTTCAGTATCTCTGGCTGTCCACTCACAGCAAGGAAACTTCCCCCAGCTCTTAGCTACAGATACTTGGCCCAGTCTAATACTGTTCCAAGTTCCTACAGCCCCCCAGCCGGGGCTGGGGGGTGGCCTAGCCCCCAGCAGGGCTCCTGCCCCTTCTCCCCTCGTGGCCTAAAACATGGCCACTTCTCCTCCAACTACCTCATCATCCTTCTTTTCCGGTCTGGTGTGATATGTTTAAATTTTGCAGAGGCGCTGATTGGGTCAACATCAAAACACCACCCCCTTGGGAGTTACCATTTTTTTAACTCCAGGGGGGAAAACCACTTTTTTTTTCCCCACCACATTATTTTTTAACGTTTTCTCCTGTGGTATCTAAGGTGATTATGATAATTATCATAGCTTCCCTGCCCACTTCACTACTTTGTGAATGAATGGTATTTGGAACTGCTCCAGTAATTTTGTGTGTTAAAATAAGTTGCAGAGAACTATAATGTGAATGTAAGACTTTTATTTTGTTAGAGGAAGTGAATTCTTCTGTAAGAGTGTAGCAGGGAGGATGCTGAAACTGGAACCATACACCATTGAAAGCTCAAGAAGAACAATATTTATTACCAAGAGGTGGCCAACAAAACGAGAACCTGAGAGAGAGGAAGGAGGAGGAAAATAAGCCCTCAGTACACCCCCCCACTCACTCAGGTGTTGTGTACAAAGTTTCTCTTACCGACCCCGGAATGCTTGGAATTACCCATAGCAGCAGCTGCATTCTTGGAGTGTCAGCAGGCTCACAAGATGGAAGGCGTCCCTGCAAAAGGCAACATGGTCCTTCGATGTGAAACTTGAGTTCCACTCCCAGCACGAGCTATCTGCTTTTCATACAATTAAGTGATAATGCCTACCTGGACAAGTGTGGCCAGCACCGCCCAGCTAGAGAGCTTCGGTCCCTCCCCCCATTATGCAAGTGGCATCTCTTCTGCGCATGTGTGGGTACCTTGGAATTTCCCTGTGCCTGCGTGCTACACCTCGGGGAGTCTTTCCTAAATGAAAATGAGGCTTACTTCATCCTCCTCCTCTTCACTTTCTCCTTCAAATACCCTTGAAGGACCATCAGCCAATGAGTACGGCCAGTCTTCGCGAACGAAGATTTTGGGAAAGGTCTTTTACCTTTCGAACCTGCGCAATGGATTTTTCAGGTGAGACACAGCCTGGGCTGAACTGAGCCCACCCTTTAATCCTAAGGTTCATGTGCCGGGGCCAAGCGAGCTTGGACAATGGCAGTGAGGTCCTCAGGTCGTAGGTTTGTTTAGAGTGACCTATTCTTAGATGGATGGCCTTACAGGGCTGACGAGCTCCATCTGCCCGGGGGAGTATCCCTGACCGGGAATCGAACCCGGGCCACGGCGGTGAGAGCGCCGCATCCTAACCACTAGACCACCAGGGGTCCCCACCATCAGCCAACAGCGAGGAACCAATTAATTATAGTTTATACAAAATGCTTCCTTCAAGGACAAAGTTCCCATTTGTCAATGCTTGTTTTCTCATAACTTGGCAGGAAAAGAATAGACTCTCACAGGTGGCTGGGCCAAACACAGACCAAAGTAGCAACATCTAATTAAGCACAAATACAAAGAGACAGTAGAAGTATGAAGTAATGGGAAGATACTTCTCATCACCATGGATCTTGGAACAGATCTTAGATCTGTCTTATGAGGCTGTTGCTGTCAGTCTGAGCATTTTTCTGTGGACAGACACTCAGAAGTGATGTCATAACTTGCATTGTTCAAAAGGAACCTTAAGTATTTTTATGTTCTATATCTAATCTCTTTGAATAGCTTCTGTTTCTTTTTTTGGAAGTTTGGTTCTGTCCAGCTACATTTTTCTGCATATTTGAGAAAAATAACTGAAATTTCTACAGAGTTTTACACAAATAACAGCCAAGTTATTTGCTCAAGTTGCCCAAGTGGGCAAAGCATGAACCCAGCAAGTAAAAATTAAAAAATTAACCACGAGTGTGTATGCTTTAGGTTCCCTTAGAAAAAAGAAGAATGTTTTTTGATCCAAGTTTAACTGTACAGAGAATCACAACTTGCTTTCTGTACTTAACTGCCAAATCTTAATGCAGGATAATTTTCTGTAGAAAGGCAGGTTGCCTCACAGTTGCTTCATAGTCCTAGTAGTCTGCTTGAAACTATTACTCAGGTTTAAAAACAGAAGATATTTGCAGAGGTAATAGCAAACTTTCCACTCTAGGAAGTGAGGAGAAAATCTCATTTTAAGGTAGTTCTCAAAATCTCTCCCTTCCAACCATTTAGTGGAGCTAGGTAAGAACAGCTTGTCCTCCAAGGTTATCATGAAATTTAAGATTTTTAGTTCTCCAATCCCTTTTTAAGCCTTTGTGGGCCTGTTAAAATTCTAGGTTTCTTGAAGGAATATCAAGTAAGTGGAAATTCTTAAACTGAAGTTCAGTTGTCTCTTCAGTTTTGCAGGTGCTTTATGTACAGCTGCAGTCAATTCTTTAGAGAGTCCTCGTTTAAACTTATGAATGTGCATCTTCCTGTATATTTGCTGGCAGATTTCTACAACGCTTCTTTCTGCTCTTCTCCCCCTTTTCCCTGCACTGCTTTTAAAAGATAATCACAAAGCTCTTCTTTCTCTTGAATGCTTATAAAAATTACAGGAGGTATTACTACAGGTCACTTTGTAGAAACCTGTAAACTCATCTGGTAGTTTCTTCCTTGAATCGGTATCTCTGTTCTTTCTTATGCTAGATGCATGGCTGCAGTCTGCCTACCTGATCTATATGATTCCAAGTTCCTTTAATCAAAGCAGTGACTGTCAGTTCTTCTAGATCTGTATTTTAAATGCTTATCCCATACCTGGGTGCCACCTTAGTTGCACAAACCTAGTCTGTTTCCACTTAGAGATGACTTGGATTGGAAAAGCCTTAAAACTCATCTAATTCCAACACCTCCCACTAGACCTGGTTTTTCAAAGCCCCATCCAACCTGGCCTTAAACATTTCCAGGGATGAGGCATCTACAACTGCTCTGGGCAAACTGTTCCAGGGCCTCATCACCCTCATAGTAAAGAATTTTTATCCGATATCTAATCTAAACCTTTCCTATTCCAGTTTAAAGCCATTTCCCCCTTGTCCTTTTTACAAAGTCCCTCTCCAGCTCTCTTGTAGCTTCTCTTCAGGTACTGGAAGGCTGCTCTAAGATGTCCATATTTGATTTAATTTTCTTGTTTTAGTTTCCAGCTGTACCCATAGGAAAAAAATAGTGAGATACCAAGGAATGCAGAATTTTTCACAACAGAAACCAGAGAACTACAGATTTCTGAAATATAATTAGCAATTTTCAAATAGTTTTCTATCTTTGAATCTAATTTCCAATTTGGTAGATGTAAGGGTTGCATCTTGGTTCCATCAAATATTTGACTTTTCCTGTGTTAGCCCATTATGTGGAAGGATGGGCAGATAACTCTTAAAAAACTGATTCCTTGTTTACTGTGAATTTCAAGGAAAGGAACTG